AGGCCCGAGGTTGATATTGATATCAGGTGTCTTTCTCTCTAGTTTATTATTTTGGTTTTCTTTATTATGATTCTGTATGGTGTGTGTGTGTGTGTATGTGTGTGTGTGTGTGCGCGCGCGCGCGCACGCAGGTGTGTCATTGTGCACCTGTGTCTGTTAGAATTCAAACCCTCAGGAATCTGTTCTCTCCTCCACAGTGGGTTCCAGGATCAAACTCAGGTCCTCAGCTTGTACGGCAAGTGTTTCAACCCACTGGGCCATCCCACCAGCCCCTCCACTTTATTTTTGGAGACGAAGTCTCTTACTGAACCCCAACCCCATTGTTTTGGCTAGACTGACCAGCCAGCAGGCCTCAGGGATTCCCTTGTCTTCAGTTCCCCAGCACTGAGTTTACAGATGCACGCCACCGTGCCTGGCTTTTAAAAGGCTGCTGGGATTCTGCACTGGGAGCGTCATGCTCCTTCAGCAAGCACCTTACCTAGTAAATCATCTCGCCAGCCACCAACTCTCCTTTTCGACTTTTAGACTCACATAGTCTGAAGTTCACTTTAACATCCCATAATGCCCTCACTCAGCAGGCTAATATTTATAATTCACTATATCCCTCCAAAATCCATTTTCTTCCTGCTCCTCCCTCACTGAATCCGCCACCATCCATCTTGTTACTCAAAGCCAGAAATATTCTTGCTGACTCTTCCTTCGCCCATCAATTTGGGCTAATTGATCACAGACCCAGGCACTTTCCCAGCATCATCTCACATCTGGACACTGCTGTCCTAACCAGTCTCTCTGTCCAGGCTGTAACCCAGCATTTAAGAATCAGCAGAGGAAGAGAATTTTCAGTGTGTCTGTTGGAGGCAACAGAAAAGGTGAATTTCAAGTCAAGGGAATATCACACACACACACACACACACACACACACACACACACACACACACACACGAGAAATTTCCCTCTTCTGATCCATTTCCCATACAGTCATTAGAGTGAACTACACAGAAAAAAAAAATTGAGTTGTTCCCTCCTTGCCTAATGCCATTGGATGACACCAATATACGTATGAAGATGTCACAATGGAGTCCTTAATTTTGTATCCTAACAAAAAAAATAAACAAATAAAATCTTGTGTTGAGTCCTATGTGGAGTAGGATGGCACAAAAGAACTTTCATGATTACTGGAGTCTCATCTTTAACTGCTCCAAATTCCATGAATTAAAAACTCAGAATTTACTGATTAGCTTCAATTTAGGGGTACCTTTCCCAGCATCCTGATGCTCTCTCATGGCTGCCTCCAGCTGGGGAGTCCATTCCTGCTCCTGCCTTAGACTGGACGACACTTTGCCTCCACAGGAAACAACCCCCCACCAATAAATTATCCTACTTATTAATGTACTGTTAACAAGTTCGCAAAGTCTTTACAGTCAAGAATATACTTTTTAATGGTATTTGTTGAGGTAGGATACAAAGACAGGGACAGTTATGGAGATATGAGAAGAGAGATGAGAACCCTCAATCTAGAGTTTGAGTGAAACCTCTTGCTGGCTGTACGTCATGAATTCCTGCACTGTTGTTATTTATTTATGCTCTTTTGGGGGGAGCTGCCATCCAGCTCCCAAATAAATCACACACGGAGGCTTTTTCTTCCTTACAAATGCCCGGCTTTAGCTTGGCTTGTTTCTTGACAGCTTTCCTCAACTTTAAATTATCCTGTTTACCTTTTGCCTTCGGGTGTTTCCCTTTCTCTTACTTCTGTAAATCATACTCTTAGTCCGTGCCTTGCTGTGTAGCTGGGTGGCTGGCCCTGGAGTCCCCCTCCTTCTCTCACTACTTCTTTTTTCTCCCAGTTTTCTCTTTCTATATATCCTCTCTGCCTGCCAGCCCCGCCTATCCTTTCTCCTGCCTTGCCATTAGCCATTTCTTTATTAGACCATCAGGTGTTTTAGACAGGCACAGTAACACAGCTTCACAGAGTTAAACAAATGCAACATAAACAAAAGTAATACACCTTAAAATAATACTCTACAACACAGCACAATTAAGATTTGCTTGTGGTCTTTTTCCTTGTCCAGTTGTATATCTGAAATTCTCTAGAAACATCACCAGAAAGTTCACTTACAGGAAAATGATAGACCCCAACCATGCTGAAAACCTTAGTGGCCCCTGGTTTTAGCTCATCAAATTATAATGCTATTCAAGATACCTATAAATCCACTTTATAATCTCAATTATCATAAGAGGAAATGGAGATAGAGCTTTTAAAATCCAATATAGGTGGGCAGTGGTGGCACACGCCTTTAATCCCAGCACTTGGGAGGCAGAGGCAGGCAGATCTCTGAGTCTGAGGCCAGCCTGGTCTACAGAGTGAGTTCCAGGACAGCCAGAGTTACACACTACTCAAAGAGAAACCCTGTCTCAAACACACCCACACCCACACTCAGACTCATATCTTTCAATAAACTCCAACACTGCCTCATGCTGGCTCAACCTGAATCCTTTTTCTGTGGCAAGGACAAGGACCTGGCATCACTGGAGAGGCAAACCCTAAAATACGGGAACTAACTGTGCTGATGTGTCTCCTGCTGAACCACTTCTGGCAGCTGTGATGCTCTTGGCCATGTCCTTCTTGACATCGTCACCCAATCCTTCTCTTAGCCCTAAGCACAAAATTCCTACCGTGAGTCCTCCTCTCTTCGTGCTCATCGATCATCTGCTCTCAACTTTTTACTCCACACCCCAGGTGCCAGCAGCCCTAAGACCCGTCCTTCCAGCTCCCCGGTCTCCCTCCTCAGTCTCCTCACTCACCAACTCCTCACCTGCCCACTGCTCGCTTCCCTGTAGGCAGCCAGCCCCAGGGAGTTGCCATAGTCCTCCCCCTCCCCTCCCCTTCCTCTCCAGGCCAACCCCTCCCATTCTGGTCAGTTCAGCTATAATTCTGCTGGTCAATAGAGCTCAAAATCAATGCGCTTGCCTTCCCACCCGCCCCGCCCCTCCCCCTTCTCCATTCCTCTTCATGCCCAGCTGGTCACCAAACCCTCCCTGAGCTCTCCTTCCTGGGTTCCACAGCCCTCCTCACTCCCGCCATCACCATCCACACGTTAAGGCTTTGGCGGTTCTTATCTGGATCCCTGCCACTCTGGTTCTCCCCAGTGCCTCTGCACCACTATGGAGCATTCCAGAAATCCACCCAGACTTTCCCCCAGGATGAACCAGATCCCTGGGTTTGACATGCGCTGGACTAGCGCACGCCAGAAGTTTCCAACTGGGACTCCTGACTCCAGCCCCTGCCTCCTTCTAAATTTTTTTCTACACATTATATTTTGATCTTATTAAACTTCCCCTCCTTCAACTCCACCCCACGGTTAGAAGCTTGCAGCCAAGTCTGGAGACCTGAGTTCGAGTCCCGTGACCCATATGGTGGAAGGAGAGAACTGACTCCCAGAAGCTGTCCTCTGACCCACAACCACACACAAAAATTAATAAACAGAATGTAATAGAAAATAGTTACACTCACTTCTTTGCATAACTACAGGACCAGGTCTTACTTTTTACTAGAAATTTAAATTTTTTATTTTATGTGTATGAAGGTTTTGCCTTCACGCATGTCTGTGTACCACTTGCATGCAGTACCCACAGAGACCAGAGAGGGTGCCAGACACTGTAGAACTGGAGTTACAAATGGTTATGAGCTGCCATGTGGGTGCTGGGAACTGAACCCAGGTCCTCTGCAAGAGCAGTAACTGATCTTAACCACTGAGTCATGCCTCCAGTCCCTTACTGCACATTTAAAAAAAAAAAAAGTAATAGAGTCTGAGGGCAGGAATTGTGTCTTCCATGTCTTTATCCTTCCCAGCATTTTGGTGTCTGGTATGTGTGTTCCTTGAGCCTCAAGGTCTGTTTGCCTCCAAGCATTCCATTTAATCAACCTCTCTGAGTCCCCTTAGCATCCTGCTGACCGCTACACCGTGACCTGAGGCTAGACCAGTCTAGAAGCCAATGTCGTCTCTAACTTCTCCTGTCAGTTTCCTCCACACCCTGGTCCACTGTCTCTTCTTTGGACATGTCTGGTAGAGCTCCACATCTGCATCACTCAGAATGTCCGCCTTTCCCACTCTTTCCTGGAACTGTTAAGAACCACCAGTTTTAGGAAGGAGAGGTGGTGTTGCCCAGAGGTGGCTCAGAGCCTATGAGCACGGGCTGCTCTTGCAGAGGACAGGAGTTGGGCACCCAGTTACTGAACAGCAAGCAGCTCACAACATCTGGAATTCCAAGACCAGGGCATCCGATTCCCTTTTTTGGCTTCTGTAGGCGATGGTACTCATGTATGCGCATAACACAATTTAAAAAATAGTAAATATTTTAGAACAACAATAATAAACACCCCACAAAACACAGTCATGCAATTTAATATGGTTTGTCCTCATGAGGGTCCTTGACAGTACTATACATTCCATGTTTTTTTTCCTTGTTTCCCTGATCTCCCCAACCCTCAATTTTTAAAATTTATTTGTTTGTTTATTTATTTATTTATTTATTTTGTGGTGGTGTAGGTCTCTGGGTCTCACTCTATACCCCAGGTTGGCCTCGAACTCAAGCTCCTCCGTCTTCCACGTCACAAATGCTGGGACTGTAGGCGCACAATGGCGCACAGCTCCTCTCTGTCTAGCTCTCCAGCCTGTCCCCACACCACTATTTAATTTTTATTACTCCCCAGCACTCCTTGTCCTAAAGCCTTCTTCTTAAAAGTTTGCTTCCACCATCAGGCTCTCTCTGCTTACTAAGGATCTCCCAGAATTCCTTGTGCGCATAGCCAGGCACCAAACACCATGCTTCTAACTTCCTGTAAAGTCCATAGTGCACTTTAAGATGGTTCAAAATAAGAAACACAAAGTCCTCGTTACAGACTCACCAGAACTCAGTGCAGCACTGAGGACTCAATATATATTTCTTTGATAAATGAACACACAAATAAATACTAGTTATAATGAATAGCCACATCAAATGCAACTTTCACAGAGTTATTTTTAAGAGTGGATCATTTCATTGATGCCAATAAAACCCTGAGGAATGAGAAGTCTGAAACAGAAATGGTTTCTAAAATACATCGCCTGTAGAGTTGCAGCTAGCTAAGGGCTTGTGATTTCTACTCGGACGCACAAGCAAATGGCATTTAGTCTCGTGAATTCTGTAGGATTTGCCAGGACAGGCATTGCACACTTCATCACAGGCCGACGCAGCCTGCCATGGAAAAGGTCTATTTTATGCTGGCCTCACCTCACTTCTCTCTCTTCAATATACTTATATTTAATTGATCAATACAAGGAAAGACACACTGTTGGGTTAGGCTGTCCAGCTCCACATCTTCATATCTTGAGGAAAACTATTTTTCCTAGAGTATTCATGATGCCCATCTTCTTTTGGTTTGCTTAGCCGTTGTGAGACAGGGTCTCACGCTGTAGACTAGGCAACCTAGAACTCACTAGGTAGACCATGCTGGCCTTGAACTCACCATAATCCTTTTGCCTCAGTCTCCAGAGCACTGGGAATAAACCACCGTATCCCGTCTTTTATTGCATCACAGACTTCGCTCTGTGGTGGTTGTCTTTCCAGACGCTTCTGCTCTGGCCAGAGGAGAGCCTGACTCTTACAGTACTCACCCTGACGTTGTGTGGATGAAGCCCTCCAGGATGCCGAGACATGTACTGCGCCAGGTCTGTGTGCTAAACAAAGCAGCAGAGAAAGAGAGGGCAGAGGAGGTCAGTGCTCAGTATCCTAAACCACACCATGGACCTGAGGAGGTACAACAAAAATACGGATGCTTTAGACCGACGTGTAAAAGGAGTTTAGTCAGATTTTTCTGAGACCCCATTCTTAAGGGCAGATATCGTGTGTCTTCCTAGTAGGCTGCTGGTACAAAGGTGCCTGTTTCTTGGCCCAGAGACAATCATTTATGTGACTGGTTCTGAATACAGTAAAGGAAACTTTCACTTCCTAAGTGTCCTTGAAGGCAGGTCAAGCACACTTACCTCAGGATTTCTTTCTGTTCATTTGAATATTTTTTCCCCTTTCAAAAGTACAAACTGAGTTATTCCTTAGTAAGCTTATATATGGCCTTTAAATATCTTGTGTTTTATCTCTATCCATTTAGCCAAAGAAACAAAATCAGGTCCTATTAGTAATTAAAATAGGCCTTTAGAGAGTGCAAAGCTTTGTGAGAAGGCAATTGTAAACCCTAGTGTATTCCTGGTGGCGAGGGGGACGGGGCAGACTGCATCCAGGTAGAGAAGCAGGAATAATTGTCAGCGAGAGCCGCACGGCCCTGCTCAGCACAAGGCTCCATCGTACCTTCCACACCATAATGAAAGTTTTATTGTGCCATAAAATATTAACAGAGTCATTCGACAAGCACCAGGCTTTTTTCCTCCTGTGCTGTGAAAGTCTGGAGCACTCACCATGTATTCAAACACGAACGTCAGAGTCTCTTTGGTGTGAACAATGTCGTGCAGAAGGACAATATTGGCATGCTTCAAACCCTTCAGTAGAGAGGCTAGAAAGAGTTAAACAAGATGTTACATCAATCACTGATAAGAAAGTGCCCCCTTTAAACCTATTAAGCAAACTTTTTTTTTTTTTTTAAACACTTCAAATCAAGCAGACTTGGGTTTTTATTGCTGGGAATGAATCTCTTCTGGAAGAATATTTGAAATGACAGAGGACCTTTATGGTTTTAAAAATGGTGAACCGTGACATTTCCATAACCGCCTCCTCTGCCAGGCTCAGTGGTTGCACACGGAGCTTCCATCCGTCTCATCAATCTCCTCCGAGCACTTTGTGAGGCTCTCCTCTGGGATTCTCACCACCCCAGATGCAGGAGCTATAGGAGCCTGGGCTCAGAGACACACAGGCCATCGGAGAAGCAGGAAACAGACTGTCCCGCCTCTTAGAGCAGGAGTTTGCAACCAGTGGCCAGGCGCTAAAAGGCAAAGCCCAGCCAGGGACCAACGAGGCTGACAGATGTAGTGGGAGGAAGGGACGGGCGTGTGGGGTAAAGAATAGGGGTAACCTGAACAGCTTAGAAGGGCTGTTTGCTTTTTCATTCTTTTTATTCCTTCTTTGTGTCTTTCACATCATGCGTCTTGACCCCATTCATTTCCTGTCCCTTCTTATCCGTCCTCTGCCTTCATAAACCCCCCGCCCCAATAAAATAAAATCTAAGAGAAAAAAAAAAAAAGGAAAAATTGATCTCATCATGGAAGCTGTGGTTGACACAGTGAGTCACACAGGAAACCCTTTTATCCATAGATCGTTACTTGCAAGTGTGCATTGCAAAGAGTCCTTGGTCTGGTTCTTGGGGAATACTGTAAACCCCCTCTGTGAAAACGCAACCTTGAATGAGCGCTCTGAGCTTGAGGAGGCTGGGGAACAGGAGTGCTGACAGCCGTCTCCTGCCTGTTCAGTGACAGGTCACTGTTAGGTTTCTAAAAGCAGCTTTTTGTTTATTTCTATTTATTATTTATTTCAATCAATTAATTAATTAATTAACTGGTACTGGGGATCAAGCCCAGGGTCTTGCCTCAGGCAATTTACCAGTGACCTGCTCTCATTGTTACCCCATAAAGGCACCCAGTTAAAAGTGAGAGATTGCCAAAAAAAAAAAAAAAAAAAAAAAGTGAGAGATTGCCATGAAAGGCCAGGAGAGGCTGTCTTTGAGAGTTCCAGAGAGATGGAAGACCCACGACTTCAGAAGGACGAGAACAAAACAGGCATAAAGAGATGATGAGTCCAAGTATGAAGAAACGGTGTCCTTAAGACTACAAGTGGTAGGCCGGGCGGTGGTGGCGCACGCCTTTAATCCCAGCACTTGGGAGGCAGAGCCTGGCGGATCTCTGTGAGTTCGAGGCCAGCCTGGGCTACCAAGTGAGTTCCAGGAGAGGCGCAAAGCTGCACAGAGAAACCCTGTCTCGAAAAACCAAAA